TGTTTACATGGAGTTGGGTGTGGGAACAGGGGCCCATATGCTGCTGTGTAAGATGACAGGGACCGGCTTTGTGTTTGGCCTTGTTAAGAGGTTTTAGTGTTGAAATCAGAGCCTGCAGCCTTCATGGTTCTTCAGCTAGGTCAGAGACACTCTGCATAACATCTGCTGTCAGTCACTGTGCAAAAGGATAATGGAAGAAAAGGTCTTTCTTCAAACATTTAACCTATTTTTTCATTTTTGGTAAGATGCATAAAAGAGTAGCCAGGTGAATATAAATGTTTGCCTGTTGTTCCCTTATCCTGCAATATCTGTCCATATTCTTACACTCTTCCTGGGCTCCCTTTCACAGATAGATCGGCTATGCAATGCATGGTTATTCTTTAGAGGAATAAGCTTGTATATGAGCTTGTATATATTGTCCCAAAAGCAATGTTTTGTAGTTGTCTGAAGAGCAAAAGGGAGATTGTCTTAAAGTGGAAGGATATGTTTTTTTTCTTCTTCGGTTATTTAAATACCGCAGACTGTACACATTTTCAGACAGTCTAATTGGGAGGGTAATTGGAGAAATGATTGTGCCTTTTTTAAAAAAAGGGGGAAAAAGCTTGGGGGGAAAAGTTCACACTTGTCTTGCTTCTTGCCTCCACACAGCAGAATGTAAAGTGTATTCAACAATTGGAGTTGACAAGAGATAAAGAAATTGGTGGTTGGGGCTCAACTCAACTCATATGACATTTTGGTGACTTGGCTTGACATTTAACTCCTTGCTAGGACCACACTGTGGATGTTTGTCAATGTGGACAGGATGGACGGACGGACGGACAGACAGGTGTTGGTTTCAGTCTCCATCAAACCTCTTGCTTGCTGCTGCTGATAAAGGCTGTAAACCATCACGACTCCACCGTTATCAGAGACACACCTTTGGATTAGAGCGACTGCACCTGCCGCTGCTGCTGCTTCTCACGCACTGACCTCAGCTCAGACAAACTGATTCCAGCCGTTGACAAACACTTGCTCACCTGCCCTGTATAGGCGTCTGTTTGCAATCTGTGCTTTTGTGTGTAGGCTTGTGAGTATAAACAGGTTGAATCTGATTTTTGTGAGTTTGCATCTTTTGTATGAAGACATGATGGATAGAAAGTGAACATTTGACATTGATTGAAGGTTAAATGTTTTTGGATTTCAGAATCCTGCATATTGATGCATGTCAAATAGATATAAGAATTTTTTTTTGATAACAGCCCCCTGCAAGATTTATAAATTTGATATCTTCAATGCAGTGTGGATCAGTCTTGTTTCGGCAAAGGAAAATGACAACTAGTGTTTGTCTTTAATTTATTAAACTGGGATGCGTCTCGAGATAACACTTGTTATGAGTTGACGCTATGCAACTAAAGATTGATTGATTGATGGAAAGAAATATTATTCTGATACCATTTTCTTCTTTGGATCGGCCCCCAATTTAGAAACATGGTGTCTCTTATAATAAATACTACCGCCAAATCCCTGTGCAAAGTCTCAGTGAAAAGACGTCAGCGTTTCAGTAGTGCCATGTAGACCTGCTTTACAAAAGTAAGACATTACAGTCTCTTAAAATGAATGATATTCAAATTTTACCAACTTTGACACAGCAACGGGCAGTAAAGCGTTGATATTTGATTGTGTTTGGTTACTTTCAAGTGCTGCTTCGTCTTTCCTCTGACTACGTGCTGCATGATATATCCATGGTGGCAGAATAGTGCAGCTTGCTTTGTAGACCACTTTTCTGGTGCATCAAAGAAACAAAAGAGTTGCTTTTATTTGGTGCTCATTCTAATAAAAATGGGACTGTTGCACTGTGTGGCAAAACCCTCCATGCCCTGCGTTTTTATTGTGAGTATGCAAAGCATTTTAATTGAAGCATTATCATGAGAAACAAATAGTGAATTTATTGCCTACTTTTACTGCCTACAGTCTAGATTTTAAGAGATCAGAGGTGCTCTGGACATGTTTCTCGCAACATCACTGTTATCAAAACGGCTGTCTTCTCGGGTGGAGGGGAAAACATGTCATGTCATCCTCTGTAGTCAATAGTCTGAATCTGGCTTGATGTGAAACTGGAGCCTGTGGATTGGCCCACAGTCTTCAATAAAATGACAGTAATGCAGGTTTATTGCGTAGAAAGGAATGTTTCTTCTCAATGAAGATGAAGAGGGAAAATATGTGTGCGTGGGGTGTGTGGTTTAAACACACAGGGGGCAGGAGTGACGAATAATGCTTCATTTGGAATGCTTGTTCCAACACTTCACTCGTAAAGTTGAGATTAGTCTGTGTGTGTGTGTGTGTGTGTGTGTGTGTGTGTGTGTGTGTGTGTGTGTGTGTGTGCGTGTGTGTGTGTGTGTGTGTCCTGCTCGGTATGTGCAGAGGTGGAGAGTGGGCCCCCAGCCTGTCAGCGAGCTGTCAGGTGATCAAACAGGGTTTCCTGTGAAGGTGTGAGCCTGTTAAGCTGAGGTGAGAGGAGCTGCAGACTGAGGTCAAACAGGGTTTCTGCTTTGTTGACCTCATCTACCTTCAGGAGGTCAAACCACTCAGAAAGCAGAGAGTCAAGAGGTGTGTAGCGGGGGCTTAGTCATGGCATCATCAGCTTTCTAAAACTTGCATTAAAAGAACCCAATTCAGCCCATTTTCTGGTGATCTAAAGTACAGGGAACGCAGCCTATTTCAGTATGTGTGAAGACAGTTCTCAGTCTAAACTCCGTAGCTATGTAACTTTTTGCATTGTGCACAAAGTAGAGTCATCCCTCATGAATCAATATCCCGACACAAAATTATTATTTTTGTCTCACAATTAGATTTTTTTGAGCTGTTTGTTGTAACTCTCTTGCTATCTGGATGCTTCTGTAAAGCACTTTACATTATAAAGGTGCTATATCATTAAACCTGCCTGGCTTTCTTTTCTGCTCTGTGGGAAACTTCCATCCATTAACAAGCTGCTGATAAATTAAGCTGACTGTTTGCTCCCTCATTATTACTCCTGAGAATTTCCGATTGTTTAGTTCATAGCAGTTTCTTTGAGACTGAAATTTTACAGAGGCGTAGACGAGCACATGAATGCACCACGGGACGAAACACATGGAAGCAGAGCACATTATGTTTTTGTTTTCATTTTCCTTCCAAATTCTCGCAGTATACTTGAACCTTGCCTCCAGGAGCTCATCCAACATCTTGGAGTGTGACGTGACCGAGCAGCTCGCGGCTCCTGTTTGACCCAGACATTGACCCCGCCCCCTTTGATGAGCAACAGTGATCAGTCAGACGGGGTGGTCGCTGCTTTGAGAGTTGAGAATCACAGGTTTGAATCCTTGTCTGGGAACTCGAGTGTGAATCAGTTGTCTCCACTCCCTAAACAGCATCGTCACCAATTTGTCTCTATCGCTGGCTCTGACTGTGTGAATTCATGTAATCCTCTTCTTTTTTTTTTTTTTCACATGCTGTTCCTGTAAACAAGAATGCATTCTCACTCCAGTCGCTGGGGTTTACAAGGATTGAAAGACGAAGACAATCATCCATTCTGTGAAAATGATTCACATGAAAGACCACACAGGCAAGCCACAACAGGACTGTCTAAAGTTTACTCCTTTGTCAGATAAGAGCTCGATCCAGTTCTGTTTGCATTCTTCAGGACGGGACCTGTAAACGTTTCCATGGCACCTCTCTCAGCCCTCAGCCTGTTTGTGTGCAGAAGCTGTGGGTGAAGGTGAAAGCGATTGTGTTTTTAGCCCTATCCCTCTCTGAAAACACATCAGTGTTTGATTTCAACAAGATCCCTGGAAAACAGAAGCTCATGAGTCATGAAGGAGAAAGAGAAGGAGATGAAGAAAAGGAAATGAGGGGGTATCACTTTACACAAATGTAAAGTTTAAATAGATTTGAAAATAAACTAGAAAATGTAGATTTAAAAAAAAAAAATGGATACCACAGCTTTAAGCAAAATTCTGCCCACAACATCTTTTCTAACACAAATCTAAACGTTGCAACAAGTATGCCCTTCCAGCAGGTGGTGGAATGAAGTCCAGGTCAGTGATAGATCTAACATTTTGTCATGTATCAGCGCTGTCTCTTTTCAGAGGTTGTATCCTTTGGAAGGCAGACTCTTCCATTTTGAGGGCTCATTCAAATGCAGCTGACGAATGCTTCCTCTTCCCAGCTAATGAAGGATCCATCCAGTGTATCCTCTGTGGCCCAGCATATCAGAAGATGCATTGCACAACAATTCAAATGAGCTGGTGGACTCTAAGCAGCAAAGCAATCCAAAGGGGCCTTGAAACTTCAAATTCCAACTAAAATAAATTGACATTCGTTAGATAAGCTAGTTCTGGTGCTGACAGATGTACCTTTTGGTAGATTCAATGCAGAAGTATTAATCAGGCTTAACGGGCTGCTATTACAGTATAGATGTGATCAGGTGATGAGAACAACTGGGCACAGCCACACAACAGTCAGAGGTTTTAACCATTATCTGTCTCTTTAGCAAAATATGTTTGCTGGTATTTGTGAAGCTGATATTTTTTGTGAACTCAGCTTTTTTAAACATTCATTCGCTTTTGGAAATATGTCCTATGAATGTGTGTTCTCACGTCCCAACAAACAATGCAGTGAGAAGAAAATACATCTACAAATAGCAGAATACAAAGTATATTTGACTTTTTAAAAAGGCTGCCAAGGAGAACTTGAGAGGGCTCCAAACAGTACAGCATTAAATAAAACCTAAAGTTCAGTACTTTGGTATGGATTTCAGAGTTAAGAAATGAATTTCTCTGGGCATAGAGGATGTAAATGTTATGATTTGGTCTTTTTTTAGTTTTGTTTTTCAGTGTTTAGTGTTTCTTCTTGTTCTGTGTGTTTTTAGTGTTTCATGATTTAGTTTGTAGTTGTCCTCAGTGTTTCTTGTATTCCTGCCTGTGTGTTTCCCAGTGTGATTGCCCTGATTGTCCTCACCTGTGTCTTGTTAGTCTCACCTGTTTGATGACCCCTGTGTCTATTTAGTCTCTGTGTTTCTTCCCGCCTGTGTCAGTTCATTGTATGTTGTATGTGTTTGTGGTATGTCAGTTAGTCGTCAGTTTGCTAGTGTCTCTTGTGCTTCCTTGTGGCTCCTTGTTTTTTCGTGTTTTGGCATTTTGATTTTATCCTTTCTTTTGGTTCTGCTCTTGGGTCCACCTCCTGTGTTTTACTCACTGAACCATAACAGTAAATCCAGAAAAAAAAAAGGATCCAGAGTCACAGCAGAGTGAGTGCTGCTCTTTAAATTATAACCCATCAGATTAACATAACGGGTCAATCAAAAGTGAAAGGGAGTCAAAAATCACCGCCTCCTCCTGTGCAGGTAGGCACATGCTGAGCAGAACTCACCTGCAGGGCTGACTCCAGATTTCTAACAGTGACCGAGGGAGAAGTCGGAATATTTCACATCCACTCAGATAGTAAAGTACAGTAATCAGAGAGACAATTACTTTAATCACCAGGTGTGATTAATGTGCAGGAATTTGTACCATCGCAGAGACAGACCCGAGCTTGTTAAGAAGAGGTCATACACGCAATAGACTTGTTGACAACATTCATATTCTTTCATTCATACTTGATTTTTTTTGCTCATTTCAGTGTTTGATTCCAACACAATGACACAACACACAAAATTTATGATTTTCTCATAATACCTTCCACAAACAAACAGGGGCAGGATGAAGAAAATGTATACTAACCGGCCCTTTCTTTATTACATAAGTCAACACACAGCAAAAAAAAATCATGCGTAGCTTTATATAGACTAAATGCTTTGTTGGTGTTATCAAATCTTCAGAAACCCAACATTTTTCAGGATCTCTTCTGCGTCAAATTTAACGCTCCTGTGAGCAACTTTCAGTTTTGCGTTGATTTTGGCGCCCCCTGTGGACTACGCGGTCGCTTCTATGTCTTTCCTGATCTTGTACTGTACATGTGAAAGTCTTCTTCTGCTTTCTACAAAGTCAAATGTATCACTGTGAATATTTACTGTGAAAAATGCAAATGAAGACCGTTTCTCCAATGTGTGGACATCTACGCTGCGGCTGCAGTTACAGACACTAAAAATAACATAGAAACAATCTTTCTTCTTCTTAATGGTCTTGTTTGCTTTGTGTAGATCATATAGAGACATCAATACAAATTTCAGTTTGTTCCACAACCAGTTAGAATCTCCTCAGAGGAGCTTTAAAGTCTTGAATCTACCATATAAATGAGAATGAACCTTAATATTATAAGTGCTGTGGATGGTGTCTGTAGTTATTTTTGACTTCATGCTGGTAAACAGCATGCAGCTTCATATCTGCTCTGAACTGCATATCAGATCAGTGTGGGCAGTCTTCAGCTGGCCTCATGTTTAGTCTTTGTTCCGCATTAGAGGCCCCAGCAATGTGAGGTGGTACTTTATCTTCTGCTGAATATCGTAATCCTTCAAACATTCAGCTGCAGAATATGAAAACAAGTTTTTTTTTGGTTTTACTCTTCCACCTCAGTACTGATAGGACTGTGGGCCTTCTTTTTGTAGCCATGTTTATCTTTTAGATGTTGTAAACTCAGACAGAGCCTTTGAGTTTGTCTGTTTCTTTTGTGTTTTTGTTCATTTATGTAAAATGTCTTCATTATTCTTTAGTTATTGTAGATATGATATATGATGTGGAATGTTTGCGTATAGTGTGAAAACAATATATATAATTTGAATGTGTAAAATGTATTCCTCACAGTGCAAACTGTGGACCCCAGGAAGAATAGCTTCTCGCTTGATGAAGCTAATGGGGATCCAAATAAACCAAAAAACACACATCTCCAAACCAAACGACAACAGCGGGCCGACACTGACTGTGTACTTTACACAGTGTGATAGTGTGGCTACTTAAAGATTACAGAATGATTTTGAGGGTATCTGGCTGTTTGTTCACTTACAATGTAGGTTTAATAATAACGCCATAATGGTGGGCTCAATTGGAAACACAAGAAGAATAAATGGCTCTAAAGACACTAATGAAACATCTGATACTTTTTTTTTTTTTAGAGTATTTCCAAAACTTTTACAAAAGCAACCGAGCAGGTGAACGTTTTCTGTAAAGTATGTCACCATCTTATGGATGTCTTGTACTATCAATATGAAATGTTTCCAGGGGTCCCTTAAGGAGGTTGAAACTGTGGAAATATGTCAGAAACTATTAAATGGATTGCCACAAACTTTGGTTCACGTATCAATGTTTTGCTCATTCATTTATTCTTGAACTTTCGTAATACAATTTTTTTTTAGATGTGTCCAACATATAAAATGTTTCTGTTACCAGACCTCCGTGTTAGCACCAGGATCCAGTGAGATGTTGAGCCGTGATGTCCTTTGATACGGCAAGATGAGATCTTGTCCTGGAGAGAGAGATTGGCACCGTGTAGAAGAAGGAGGAGGCCTGCACAGCTCTGAAAAGACTTAACCTTCTAACACAAAGGTGCTCTGACCATTTTTGATTGTAACAGTTTTCAAAGCATTTAGCTTGATAGCAACTCCTACCTGCTAAAGGATCATTTTAACCTGTCATGTACTGTAGGGCTGTTTTTCTGTTTTCTCTCTCTCTCTCTCTCTCTCTCTCTCTCTCTCTCTCTCTCTCTCTCTGTGTGCTCTCCCGATGCTGCTTCTCAGCATCCCTGCAGCCATCCACTCCTGTAGCAACGTAGCAATCAGGGTCTGGAGTATCAAGGCTGGAGAGAGGTGGCAGCCTGTTGTCAGTGGGACCATTCGGCTGTGTGTGTTCAGAGGTCTTGAAGTCGTGTGCACTCCTCTTAAATAAATATATTTTTGAATGTGCTTGTACTTAGTCCCTCCTACTTTCCCCTGTGTTTTATTTTATTGTTACTCCTCTAATCTCCCAGCCGTCTTGGAGAATCTAACCAATCATCAACACACCAGAACATTTACAAGCAAGCTCTCAAGCCGTGGAAGTCGACCATCGTGATGAACACAGTTCACCTTCCGGATGAGAGACGACCGATTCTACCTCTGGGCCATGAGTTTCTGTAAGTGACAAATAAGTACAAACACACCAAGTGTTCATATGAAACTTTGGTTAATTACGAAATGTTTTAATTTGAAATATTTTGTAAAACTAGGAGTCTTTGAATGGAGAAATCACATCTGAAAATGAAACTTAAGAAAAGGACTCCCACAGACCTTTTTTACAGGTTTGTCTAACTGATCTATAACATTGTGTTGTGACCACTGACACTCCAGTATGTTTTTTGTAGCTAATTAACCCCATTACTTCCCCAGTTTGTCTGTGTAGCAGTGTTTCCCATACTTCCTTATCACTGCTGATAAGCCCGGTCATAAAGGGATGAACACAAGACGTTTGTGTCTCTGTGCAGGCATGTGAATGACTCGTATGTACACAAGTGTGTGCAAATGACAAAATGTGTGTGTCTGCACCTGCTTCCATGGAAGGAAACATCTGCTGCAGGGTGTCAGAGGCCACCTGTCCACCTCCGTCCTGCAGGGAAACAGCAGCCGCTGAACGACCACTACAGAACTGATCCACTGTCTGAACCAGCGAAATCTGCAGCAGGAAGATCTGTAAGGGGAGAAACAGCTGTCTTATTAGATCCTCCCATGGCCCGCTATCTGAGACTGTGTGAGCTTGCATCATTCACCCAAATATGTGTTGAATAGCATAGCAATAGGAAATAATCCCTGCACACTGGAAGTAACACATTTGCAGGGTTTGCCTGGATGCTGGGACGTTTGAAATTGTAATCAAAATGGTTTAGAAACGTGTAAACTTGCCAAAAAAAAAACATAAAGACAACTTGCTTGATTAAACAAATTCTGACACTGTGCCAATATGATAAAAAAAAAAAAATTAAACGTCTTTAGTCTTGACTTAACTATTTTGACATCTAGAGATCACATTAGCACTCAATTATTTTACGTACATGCATGCTGGCCAGTGGATGAATCCTGCAGACTCTTCTAATTGCCTGGCTCTTTCCTCTGGTGCTACCGTGAGATAAACATTTGAGGTTTCGTTGAAATGCTTCGACAGAAATGGGATGAATCAGAATATATTCACTCATCCTTCAAGAATTACTTTGGTGAGCCGACATTTCATCTTGCTCAAAAGTCAAAGTCACTCAGAGGCTGTTTGAACCTGTTTTTAACCGACTATTTATTTAGTTGGATCCAATTCCAGTAAAAACCACTATTAAGAGGATCTCACTTTTTACACTCTGAAAGGTCTTCTGTCTTCACACTTGTCTCTTCCCAGTGAGCAATAAGTGTGATCTTCATGAAGAAAGTTGGTTAGAAATATGTTGCAATTGAGACCAAGACACTTTTCACACAGAAGAAAAATATAGACGCCCCATCTTGTCTATTGATCTTTTCAACTCAAAATCAAAATGTTCCATTAAAAGCAAATCTCTAATATCCAAAGTATAATCAAACTCAAAATATAAAGATTTAAGGTCTGGCTTCAGTCAAAAAAAAGGGGGACATTTGTGGGATATAAAATTGTGAAGAAGTTCAAAGTTTCTCCTCTGACCTGGATTGAAAATATGTTGAAAACTACTTATTTGATGAATGTGCACTCCTTCCCCCACTTCATTGTAAGAGGGTGTTTTTGAGTGGCCAGTAGAGGGCGCTAACTGCCATGTTTCCTCTGTCTGCAGGTCAGTAAAGAGCAGCTCAGGTGTCCTTCTCAGAAAACATCATGTACTTAATGTTTTTGTAATGATTGTATGTTTATAATTAAAGTTTTATATATGTGATTTATAGCCTGAAACTCTGTTTTTTTTGTATCATTGTGTAAATATTAAGCATTTTAAACATAAAAATACAAGAAACTTGAAAAAACACATGTTGATTTTTATTCATGGAAAACTCTTGAGACCACTCGTGTGTGACACATTCTCAAATTTTACACAAATACAAGCTCCTGTGTGAGTAAACTTCTACTAGAAATCCATCATCGACCCTTGTCCTGCCCCTCTCCCTGATTTGCTCTCTGCTGACAAACGTCCCACCCAGGTGAGCCTGTGATTGGCTCACGCAGCTGTCCGTCACCGGGGGCGTGGGGGGGGGGGGGGGAGCGCCCGGCTCTAGCTCTGTCAAACAGAGACGCACCGCTGCTCTCCTACTCTGCTGTTTAGTGCGTCGAGCGGCGGAGGAAAGTGGAGTTCGCGCGTCTTGTTGTGCGTCCGTGGACCAAACAGCAGCAGCAGCGGTGCGCTTTTTTTTTTCCTCCTCCAGATCCGCAGGCATCCCGGAGAGCAGCCACACCGTGCATTCAGCGGACACCAGGAGGAGGAGGAGGGGGTGGATAACCGAGTTCTACTTCTTGTTCATGATCATTTTGACTCATTGAGACATTTCATATTTTTGCATTTCCCTCATGGTAACCAACACTGTGCAGCCGGAGACATGTGGAATATTCCGGGGAAACTGCACCGCTTCTTACTAGTGTGTCTCCTTCTGACGCTGTGGGCTCAGGTGAGAACTCATTTTTATTCATATTGTAGACGTGAGTTTAACTTATACATCGACAGGAGTTATTTTGGAAAGGGTTAAATTCCTGCCTTAATTGAATTGCGTGTTCAACAGTCGAATCATGTGATATAGGAATTTCTAAATTTGTGCTTCCTCCGGGGGATAAATTAAGTTTGAAGTTTACATGCAAATAATTGACAGTTGATGCTTTTTTTTTTTGTTTTTGTTAAAAGACAAGTAGTAATCGTTTTAAAAAGGCAAAGATGTGCATTCCTCCTTAAAGTTTCAACACCAAAGGTTTAATACCAATATCGAGTGCGTTAATGAGCCTGTATGCGGACTCTTGCCAGCTTAATTACGCAAAACAGTTTCTTAACTTAACATGTTTGCAGTGCAGCTTCACCTGTGTGGGAAAAACGTCGTGTTACTGTCTTTAACAGGTCTTGTAAGTTCAATTGCAAAAAAAAATACGAGTTACTTGTCTTCGTGTCTGTCAGATAGTTTTACTTCTTCGGAGTCTTTTTCATCAAATTAATTCTGCAGGGTTTTGTTAAGGTGGGCTTTTCTGCAGTGCTCGGCTGCAGCCTGATATGCAGAGTGAGCTAAATTGGAGTGCTAGTATGTCGCGTTATCCAGCCCTGAAGTGCAACTGTGCCAAAATGTACAGTAGTGTGGGCTGCAGGGTGACTGAACACTGCAAAAAAAAAGGAACTTATTGTGGAATTGTCTTCTTAAATACGATTATAAAGTGTTATAATTTGACTTAAAATGTAAGTGGCATTGCTTTTACCATTACACCTGACCCTGAAATAGAAAATACAACACAAATGCGAATAGTTAACCAACAAATAGCATTAAACCACCTTTAAAATAAATTTAAAAAAAATCCCTTTCAGTTTTTTTAAACCCTCTTCCGTCCTCCTCAGGTGTCTCAGTCCACCGGTTACTTCGAGCTGCAGTTGATTTCAGTGGAAAACCCCAAAGGTCAGCTACTCAACGGCGACTGCTGCGACGTGGAAAAGAGCGCCGCGGAGGGCCAATGTGGCGTGGACGAGTGCGACACCTACTTCAGAGTGTGTTTAAAGGAATACCAAACAGAGGTCACGACCAATGGCCCGTGCACATATGGCTCGGAAACTACTAAGGTTATCGGTGGGAATACTTTTCAGTTCAAAGGCGGCCAGAAAACCGGACAGAACCGGAACAACGACGCCGGAAAGATCATCATCCCCTTCCAGTTCGCGTGGCCGGTAAGTGGCTCATTGATTCTCCAGTTTTGCTTTGAAATGAAGTCCAGAATGTCGGTGGTTATTGTTGTGGAAAGTTGCTCGGAAGTTTCCAAAGTTTCGCTTGATGCGTCATCAGCAACCATTGTGGTTATCCTAGTTTATCGTTTCACCACAAAATAATCATCATTTCATGCTTTTAATAATTGATGTAGAGTCCAAAAAAGAGATATAAATCATGTGAGGAAGTTTTTATGTTTTGTTGGTGAATCATAGCACAGCCTGAAGTCGCTCAACCCCTCTCGTGCAAAGAGAAATTTGGCACATTTTGGCACAGTTTTCTGTCTCTCCTTGCTGTCTTGAGTGTCTGCCTGCTATTCATTCTCCACTTCGCGTGCCCATTTAACAATTGGTGGCCTCTTTGTGTCACCAACCATCTCGCCAGGGACATCACATTCCTATCTTTGAGCTTTTGAGTGTATATTTTTGTGTTTCCAACCAAGCGACAGGCCTGTGCGCGCATTACGCACGACTTTTACGCACAGCAGCGGTACAGTGCGGTTTGATAAGTTACCAAACAAGCTACTGTTTATGTGGCTTCAGTTACAGAGTGTGAGAGGAGGGAGGAGGAGGGGGGACGGGGTGTAGTATGAGTGTTTGAAGTAAAAAAAAAAAAAAAAAAAAAAAAAAAAGCAAGATATCCAAGCTTGTGTTGATAAAGAAGTGGCAGGTAACTTATTATCTAATCCAAACAGAGCAGCAGCCAATCAAAACCTGCCCAGGCTCCTTATTTGGAGAAACAGCGTGGGAAACAGGAACCTTGTTCTATGAAAGCTAAGGTTTAAGGAGCTGCTGTTCCAGTCAGAGCTCTGTATCAGGGAGGTTTGCTGGTTAGGGTGACGTCCTGTGGAGGGAACGTCACAGGTTTGATTCCCACAACAGCTGAGTGAGCTGTCAAAAGAAGAGTCCTCAGTCATTCTGAGTCATTCTGAGTCATTCAAACATCTAATGAAACAATGTGTCAATCATGAGAAGATACCTTTTTAACTTTTAAGATGATCAATTAGTTACAAATATATTACACCAATAGAAGTTCTGTCTTACAATTTTTTTTTTTTTTTTGCCTTTAAGCAGTTGTAAAGTCCTATTTTCTCTAAACCTATTTCAAACTGAAACTAAGCTTGCTGTCTTCAATTTTGTGTAATTGTCTTGACCATAGTGCTGTTTGCTTTGCAGTTTTTGTTTAACACCTAACACTGAAAATCTTAAATGTTATTTGTTTTTATGGAGAAAGGTTGACTGATCTCCTCAGAGTGGCAGCTTTTTCTCATGCTTTTCTGAAAACAAGATTCTTAGCTTAGACAGCCTCGTCATACTTTTAGAGTGCAGTAAGAAAATTAAGCCTTTTCTGTCTTGTTGTCCTTGTTTGGCTTTTTACATTTATTGCATTTTTTCCTTATTGCTTACTTTTGATGTTGAAGATTTATTTTTTTATGGGTGTCAAGGTGAAATAAGTAGTGGGAAGTCTTGAATTTGGCTTTGGACCAAGATTGGACTTTTTCTAAAACTAAGAAGTTAATTGATGAATCAAAAAAAAAAAACAGAAATATATGAAAGAATCATTAGCTGGCAGCCTCATGTTTTAAAATTTTGAAACCCCAGAGTTGATAATCAGTGATATGATGGATATGAAACTCTCCAAGCATCCTAAAATAATGGAAGATAATCCATCTTGAAAACTCATTCCAGACATAGTGGCAGTAAAAAGCAGAAACCCGCCCGTGTGTTCATGTCTGATACATACATATCGGACATATCGGGTGCTTTGTGTGCTCGACCAGCTATGTGACCTCTCCATTCATCACTCCCCATGGTCAGCTGTCAGCGGAGTGGAAGATGGAAGTAGTAAGTTGGGGCCCTGCGGGTGGATACGGTTACCACTAAGTTGTGTGTGACACAGGCCGAGGGTATCAGTGTCACCAACTACTCAAACAAGTGAAGATCCCCGCTCAATCTGGGCCGGGGGATGCCTTTACATCGCCGCCTCTCAGGTTCACGCTCTCTCCGTTATTGGGTCATTGTCTCACTCGCCGTGTGTGTGTGGGGTCAGTATTTTCCACTATCCATCCGGAAGGGGGTGGAAGAGTGTGTGTGTGTGTGTGTGTGTGTGTGTATGTGTGTGTGTGTGTGTGTGTGTGTTCGGGGGCACAAAAGAAGGAGGGTATCAGTGTTCAGCAGCTTCTTCTGATGAGGCTGTCAAGGTTGAAGCAGTTAAAATGTCATTACAGCCAACACATTTCTTCAAATCAGTTTGACATCTTATGTAGTTTTCTTATTATAAATCGGCAGTGCGTATGAGAACAACACATCTGCATGGAAGAAGATAATGTTTTGGTCATTTCATTTGTCCTTAAAATAGTGACTAGTTAAAAAAATAAATAAAAAAAGATCCCGAATTGCAGGGCAAACAATCACAAACCCAAAGATGTTCAGGTTAGAAAGTTGAAAAGCACTGAAGAGCAACACAATTTGAAAATTAAATAGCTGGAACTTTTTAGGCATTCAGTTTAATCAGCGAGTCACCTCTGTCGTGTACACTGTGTATACATGAAAAAAAAATTGTTGGTGCGATGTGTAAAGATCCTTATGTAGAACTTGGACAGAATGTTTGGCAATATGGAAGTATGTGCTCTTGTTTCCCTTTGATCAAAGGACCAGGGTGTATCAGTTCTGGCCCATCCTGTTGCAGCAGACGACCGTCCACCTACAGCCCCTTCACAAATTGCAATTCCCCAACAGCGCCTTAAGAAAGCTCCGCTGTCATTACGCCTGTGTTCTTACACATTGCATCCACAATGGCGTACTATTGGCATCCCAGTGTGTGATTTCACATTTCATTACAGTGTCGCAGCAGCACAAGAGCCACGGTGCGTAAACACACACTCATAGACGCTCACCACTGTTGCGAAATCGTCTGTTTTGGACTGATTTTCCAGGTCTGTGTCAGGAGAGTTGCGGGTTTTTTTGTCGGAAAGTGTGGTGATTTCTTCATTTCTTCATCAACTTCCATAAGCTACTGTTGGATCAAATACATTTTCCATCCTGAGATTGAAAGTGAGCGAACATGTCTAGTGGGCGACTATTCAATCTGATTAATGTAGATGCCCTCTTTTTCACAATTTTTGAAGCCTCAGGTTTGATTTCTCAGATGTCTCACTCTGCTCATTCTTTACAAAGACCTTCTCAGACTGTAGTTTGCACTCTGGCACGCTGACAGACAGCTCTGACAGTCACTTACAGAGTGTGTGTGTGCGTGCGTGTGTTTGTGTGTGAGAGGCCGTGGCCTGTAGCCTCTGGTGCTGCTATAGTGGACTCCTTCAGTGGGTCTAACAGTATCTGGGCCACTGGTCCTGACATGAATTAACTGCTGAGGAACATAAAAAAAGAAGGACATTGTTCTGCCGCCTCCTTCACTGATCATTTCCTCTTCATGCTAACCCCTCCGGCTGTTTGGGTCTTTAGTGACATCTTTTTCATGAAAGAGGCTGAGGGGGGGAGGAGAAGGGGAGGTGATGGGGAAGAGAGAGGAAGAGGAAGATGGAGGAGGCAGCCCCCCCCCCTTCAAGTATTTGTATATTAAAAAAAAAAAAAAAATCTACACAGCTTTCTTGTGAGGTTTCAGTCACAAGGGAGGTGTATTTTTAGGATGCTGAAACTTAAGATGTTGCCCTTTTTTTTTTTTACAGTAGTGAGCAGAGCAAAAACAAGCATTTTCTTCTTCTACCCTTCCTCCTCTGCACCCCCCCCCCCAAAAAAAAAAAAAACCCAAATCCTCCTCCTGTCTCCTTTTCTCTCTCTCTCTCCTTATGGGGTATTTTTGGAACTGCTGTCCTCCCCTCACCCCTCTGTGAGTAAATCAAGGATCAAGGGTGCGTACTCCTTCAGTTTCATGGCCCGTTTTTTTTCCCCCCGCCTCTGCCCCCCTCTTTTGCCAGAACAACCCCCCTACCCCTCCGTCTCCTCCCCCTCAGCCTGGCAGATCTGAGAGGACAGAGGTGGAACAGCTGTTGTTTCGAGACTTACTCCTCCTCCTCCTCCTCCTCCCAGAATAAATGTTTTAGTGAAATAGCATTAGGAAAAGCGGCTTTGATTACAGATCAGCTCCTCGGAGGAGTATCAGTGAGCAATCACAAAGTGCAATGTTGGATGACGGCGAGTCGTCGCCCTTCTTCTTTGGTTGTTCGGCTCATTTTGCCGAGTGCGGCCCTGGCACCGTAGCCCGCTTTTCCATCAGGATCCCTGCTCAGTTTGGTGATGCCTTTACGCTTGATTAGTTTGGTTATAGGAGGACAAGGGTGTGATAGTGAGTGGAGGTGTAGGGTTGACGGAGCAGGTTCCGTGTAAGAGAGGGATGATGTTGGTTAATTCTAGCAAGAGGCCCACATGTGCTTAACAGTTGTGCAACAAAAACAAAAGATGGGACCCACTTGCAAGACTTTAATTGTTAAGGTCCGTGTCGAATGCAAAGTCTTAAAGTAAGTATAAAACGTAGCTTATAAATTGAGGAAAGTTACGCAGTCATCTCAGCTTGCAGATGCTGTGAGTGTGTCCGTTGAATGCGCCAAAACGATGCCCGGTTACGGTAAAAAACACACTTTGTAAAACTGGGATTCAATTTCTTTTTTGTATTATTGTAGCAGGAGAGTGGCAGGATTATGCACCCGACACCCTAGTGGGTCATTGAGCCCCCCAATTTGGCCCCTCGCTTAAAAAAAAACCTGAACCTTAAAGTGTTGAAAGGCTTTCCAACGGTTTAAATCAACAATTCAATCAAACAAAGCTTATTTTTCCCCCCCAACATATCTAATGTGTTAAGAGACTGATTTCTGATTTTGCTTTGCACAGACTTTGAAGTACCAACAGAGAGCATTGACTAACACAATTTTGGCCCTAATTGCATCACTTACTATAACAATTTTGCAGCGGAGGCATTGATGTGCAGAGATCTGCTCATGTAAGGAGTG